CCGCCACCCTTCGTCATATACTTCGGAGTTTTTCTTTCACGGGTAATAAGAACAAGGATCACTTGTGTCATGCATGTCGCCTCGGCAAACATGCTCATCTCCCGTTTAGGGCTTCTTCTCATGTTACATTGTACCCATTTGAGTTAATTCATAGTGATGTTTGGACCTCTCATGTTGCCAGTAATATGGGCTATCTTTATTATCTTGTCATACTTGATGATTTCTCACATTATGTGTGGACCTTCCCGTTGCGCCGCAAGTCGGATGCTATATTCACTCTCGCCGCCTTCTACTCCTATGTTCTCATGCAGTTTTGTCGTCCCATTCTCGCGTAGCAGAGAGATAACGGGAAGGAGTTCGACAACCTCGTTGTTTGTACTCTCCTCACCACACATGGCACAACTTTTCATCTCACTTGCCCATAAACCTCGCAGCAGAACGGTCGCGCTGAGCATATCCTTCGCACTCTTAATGACTGCGTTCGGACTCTTCTCTTCCACGCCAATGTGCCTCCGCGCTTTTGGCATGACGCTCTCACTAACGCTTCACTCCTCATTAACATCCGTCCATGTCGCACTCGCGGGAACTTTGCACCTCATCACCTCCTCTTCGGTGCACCACTCTCTTATGATGAGCTTCGCATCTTCGGTTGTCTCTGCTACCCTAGCATCGTCGCTACTGCGCCTCATAAGCTTGCACCCCGCTCCGTCGCTTGCATCTTTCTCGGCTACCCACCTAACACTAAGGGCTACCGCCTCTATGATCATGTCTCCCATCATGTTTTCACCTCCCGACACGTTTACTTTGATGAGATGGTGTTTCTGTTTCAGTAGCAGGTACCCCTTGTCGCCTCGTCTCCGCCGGCCACCGATGGCTCTTCGGCGACTCCGTCAGGTGGACGGCCCCGCCCGGCTCTCAGACCGCCTCCAGGCTTTGGCGGTCCTCGCATCATGGGACGAGTTGCGTCGCGCCCCCACACCCGCACCTGCCCTCTCGGCCTCCTCGGGTCGCGCCCCCCTTCACCCATCGCCCACGACTCGGGGGCCGCGGGCTCTGGCGCCGCCGGCTCGGTCGCCCCTTCGGCAGCCTCGGCTACCGCCTCTTCGGCCGCCACTTCACCGTACGCCGCCTCGCCGGCCCAGTCGCCGGCCACCTCACCGGCCCCGTCGTCGGCCGCCTCGCCGGCTGCTCCGGTGTTGCCGTCTGGCCCTGTTACACGGTCTAGGACCGGCGTTCACCATCCGAGCCTGCGGTACTTGGGCGATGAGTACCTCCTCGCCGCCTCCACTATGGAGCCGTCTCCTCTTCCCACGTCCGCTCGCGTCGCCCTCCGTGATCCTCACCGGCTTGCGGTGATGCATGAAGAGTTTGACGCTCTTCAGCGGAACCGTACCTAGACACTGGTTCCCCGGCCTCCTCGCGCCAATGTCATCACCGGAAAGTGGGTCTTTCACCACAAGACCCGCTCGGATGGTACCCTTGAGCGCTACAGGGCTCGCTGGGTGTTCGTGGTTTCCGACAGTGCGCTGGATAAGGTTGGAAAAAGCGGTAGGCGTAAGCGAGGCGGTTGGCCTTCGCCTAGTGCCTAGGCGGTGCTTAAGCGCCCTAGGCACAGCCTAGGCGGTTATATATTTTTTACTATCAAGGTGTATATGTGGTTATTATATGTGTATTTTATTAATTCAGGGCATATAAGTATGTTGACTACCAGCTACTATCATTGGAATATGGCCCTTTTGGCATATCAGTGCAATATGGCATGATTTCTCACCTGGGTAGACAATTTCTTACTTGCTCTGCCTAGACTTCTGCTTATGCCCTAGACAAGGCATTTGGCCATTGCCTAGTGCCTAGGCATGCCTAAGCACCTCCTAGGCACTGCCTTTTGCAACAGAGGCTGGAATTGACTTCACTGAGACGTTTGCCCCGGTTGTTAAACCGGACACAATCCGCATCGTCCTCCAGCTTGCGGTGTCCCGAGGCTAGCCAGTTCATCAGATGGATGTCTACAACGCCTTCCTCCAAGGCCATCTTGAGGAGCAGGTTTATTGTGAGCAGCCCAGTGGTTTCGTCGACACATCTCTTCCTGGCCATGTGTGTTTATTGTCCCGGTCTCTCTGTGGGCTCAAGCAAGCACCCCGCGCCTGGTACCAGTGGATCCCCGGGTTTCTTCAGACACTGGGTTTCAGCGTCACTCGCTCGGATGCCTCGATGTTTGTCTATCGCCACGGTGACACGACTGCATATTTGCTCCTCTACGTCGACGACATCATCCTGACAGCCTCCTCCGCAGCTCTACTTCAGCAGATTACTCTTCGACTGCATGATGAGTTTGCCATCAAGGACTTTGGTGCTCTACATTATTTCCTTGGCGTTCAGCGACCGGACGTCTTCTTTCTTCATCAGCAGAAGTATGCGCACGAGCTTCTTGAGCGTGATGGCATGCTCAATTGTCACCCTGTTGCTACTCCTGTTGACACGAAGGCCAAGGTTTCTGCTCTTGAGGGCTCGCGAGCGTCGGATGCTCCTTTCTACGGTCCATCTTCGATGCTCATCAGTATCTGACTCTCACCAGACCGGATCTTCAGTATGCTGTTCAGCAGGTGTGTCTCCACATGCACGCCCCTCGTGACTCCCATTGGACTCTCGTGAAGCGGATCCTCCGTTACATTCGCGGCACGATGACCCTCGGGCTCACCCTCACGGCGTCCACTTCTCTGGAGATGATGGCCTACTCCGATGCGGACTGGGCTGGCTGCCCAGACACTCGTCGGTCTACCTCCGGCTACTGCATCTACCTCGGGCCTTCACTCGTCTCGTGGTCGTCCAAGCGACAACCCACGGTTTCGCGCTCCAGTGCGGAGGCTGAGTACCAAGCTGTGGCTAACATTGTTGCTGAGTGCACCTGGCTACGACAGTTGCTTCAGGAACTGCATCATGACGTCTCCCAAGCTACGGTTGTCTACTGCGACAATGTTTCTGCGGTGTACCTCTCTGCCAACCCCGTTCATCATCGCCGGACTAAACACATTGAGTTGGACATTCACTTTGTGCGCGAGCAGGTGGCCCTTGGACATATTCGGGTTCTCCACGTTCTGACTGCACAACAGTTCGCCGATGTGATGATGAAGGGACTGCCGACTTCCACCTTCAAGGAGTTTCATTCCAGTCTTTGCGTCACTGGCGCCGCTTGGACTGCCGGGGGGGTGTTGAGTATATTGTGTGCGTATATATTTGTGTATAGGGCCCACCTCCTGTTTCCTCTGTATAGTTGAGGTTGCGACCCCCCCTCTGTACTTATATATACGTGTCTGGTGCACCGATCAATATATTACGATTGCACAGCCCACATCTTGTCCCTCTACACGGACATTATAATGTAAACATTTGCGGGCGATTTGAGACGCCGTGACCCGCGGACCAAGTTTGATGCTTTGCTTATGGCTCAACGTTCAGAAATGCAGGTGGATGAGAAGAACTCAACATAGATTGAAAACACCCTTTGAATCAATCGTTCTGACCCACCCTCCTCGCGCCATGCACTCCGCCTCCCCTGCCGGGTCGGCGCGCTCCTCGCACTCCCACGGCAGCGCTGGATCTGGCTGGGGCATCCCTACCTCCGTGGCCACTCCTGTTAGATCCGCCGGTCCGTCAGATGGGCTGGTCTCTCCGCGGCCTCGTCTCGCGTCAACGGTGTGCCCCGCTCCTCCGCCATGTTCCCTACTGCGGGGCGAGTGCTCCAAGGATGCGCCACCCTCTCCTCCTGCGGTCCGTGCGGAGTGCCCCCGTTCTGGGAAAGGCAGGCTCAAGTCCATTGTGGTTGTGCCATCTCCTCCGCCCTCTCCTTCCTCTTCCGTCCATGGAGACGGGTGGACGGCGGTCAAATCCAATAAGTAGCGCCGCGCAACCAAGAACCCTGTAGGCGCTCCTAGGCGCTCCAGGTCGGGGCGGTCCGGCCGGCGCCCCTGCCTTGAGCGGTCGCGCTGCCTTCTTAAGCCGCTTCGATGGGCTGTGCTTCCGCTGTCTCAGCACCCGCCACCGTAGTGTAGACTGCAGAGATCCCCTGCATTGCATCATTTGCAAGTAGCCGGGGCACTTCGGCCGCGAATGCCCGCAGAATCCAAGGTTCAAAAGTAGAGTTCTGGCATAGCTCCCCGTCGCGGCCCGGTCAGAGACAGGCTCCGCTTCCCCACCCCACCCTCGGCCCCGCTGCCGGCCGCCATGGATCGCCAAGCCTACCACACCGACCCGTCTCGTCACCCCCGCTCCAGCCACAAGGTCATCATCGCCACATCGGCCATTGAGCACCAGGAGTTCCTCCTCCGCAAGCATGCGGTGGTGCTCATGGCGGCACTGTCCCAGCACGCCGCCAAACCCATGGCGGTGGGCCGGGCCATCGAAGAGCAGTTGCACACGCCTCCCCGCCTGCTGCACGTCACCAGCCACGACCCGGAGGACTTCTTCGTCCACTTCGAGCTCCCGGCGCACAAGGAGAACGCAGTCCGCCGCGGGCATGTCAAGGTGGACGGTGTCGTGTTCGCGATCAAGGGCTGGCACGAGGACGACCACGACGTGCCAGACGACTGCAAGCTCCACGTCCGCGTGGTCATCGAGAGGATGCCCATGCAGCTCTAGTCGCTGGAGGGCGCCGTCGAAGTGCTGGGCGACCTCTGCATCGTGGACCGCCTCGACAGCCACACCCATGAGCGCGGGCACACCAGGTCGTTCGCCTGATGGGTGTGGGTCTTCGACGTCGCGCACATCACCACCAAGCGTACCATCTGGCGCGTGGCGCGGGGCGCGGGCCGGGTGGAGGCCATGCTTGGTTTCTCGCCGCCGAGCCGCCAGGTCGCGCCGCCCCCCGGTGTCAAGCGCCGTGATCTGCTAGTGCACGTGGACCGAATCGAGGACTGGACCCCGCGATCCCCGCGCTCGTCCCGTTCTCGTCAAAGCGGCCTTCCCTCCTCAGAGTCCGACGACGACGCCCCCTTCCCGGCGATCTACCAGGGGACTTGGACCAGGCATGTTGAGGACGGCCAAGGGCGCCGTAGGCCGGAGATGGTGGCCCCCTCTGGCTGCCAGGGCCTGCAGTTCGGGAACGGCAGGCGCGACCGCGACGACAGCCGCGGTGGCAGGCGTTCCTGGAAAGACACCCTGCTGGGCCGGAGTCTCAGCCGCGAGGCCGCCGCAAGCAAGAAGGCACCGCCTAGGCATAGGAGCCGCACGCCGATGAGCCGCCGACACGGGGCGGGCTGCCGCAAGGACGACATCGTGCTCCGGGCCACTCCTCCTCAGCCGCTCCGTCGCCCGCCTCCTCCACCGCTTGCCCTGCCTCCTCAAGCCCCTCCGTCGGCCAGCACCTCGCCCGACCCGGTCACAGACTTCTTCAATGATGGCGCAGGCGAGCTAGCTCCTCCGCAGCGCGCTGACTGCATGCTGATGGAGCTCGAGGAGGTGGTCAAGGGCGCATTGGCCGCCCCTCTGGAGTTCCAAGACGGTCAAGGCGATGATCAATTTGGGGCCCACCCGCGGCCCACCCCCGAGTCGCCGTCTGGCGGGGCCCTGCCCTCTCACATGCGCCCTGACCTTGTCAGCGCGGCCTGCCGCGCTCCTACACCGGTCGTGAACACCGCGGTGCAACTTAGCACCGTCACGCAGCAGGTCCTCGAGCTTCAGCTGGAGGGGGGGACCGGCGACGCCCCGACAGCTCTTTCGCAATGTCGCTCCCCCCTTCTCCCCGCCCCGGTGCCACCACCCCCGCCGGCCTCCCGCCGCTCCTCTGCGCCACCAAAGACGAGGGCGCCCTCAGCGCCAACCAGGCAGAGTACGCAGCAGGCGGCCATAAATAGCCCCGTCGCCGTGGCACAACGCGCCTCTCTGCGGCTGGTGCAGGAGCTGGGTGGACTCGGACCCAAGGAGAGGATGACCATGGAGGCGGCCGAGGCGCTCGTGGGGCGTTTCAAGGAACCACTCTCGGAGGACGACATCACCTGCATTGCTAAGCTTACCAAGCTCAACTTGGATGCCCTGCGCGCCATGGCCGGCCTCGCTGGCCCTGATGGCGCGATCGGAGTTCAAGTGTGATCATGTTAGAGATGCTCTGTAGTTTTAGGACCAGTCTCCGGTGCCGTCTGGCCTTAAGCCAGATTGAGTTAGGTTTCTTTCAAATGTTGTCTGTTAGGATCAGTAGGTCTGCTCGTCGTCGGCATGTTTTGGGTGCTACTGGTGGTTGCCGACGCGCCCCGGTCCGGCGGGATGTGTGTAATCGTTTGCTCACTTTCATCATTAGTAGCTTTGGTTCCCGGAGAATTCACCTGTTCCTAAATGACTGACGACACATGCGGTTTCATGAGTTGGAACGTGAGAGGGCTCAACTCACCGGCGAGGAGAGCCATGGTTATTGAGCTAGTTAGTGCCATGCTCCCGGCGATCCTCTGCCTGCAGGAGACAAAGATCGACACTTGGTCCCCCAGCTTGGTGTGTGACATTGGTGGGCGCGCTCTGGACGGCTGCGTTGTCCTACCGGCGATCGGCACCTGCGGTGGTGCGGCCATCTTCTGGGATTCCACCATCGCCAGTATTGCCACGCATAGCATTGGGCTCTTCTCCATCACGGCGATCGTCACGCTGCTGCGCTCTGGCACATCATTTTGGCTAACAACGGTCTACGGACCGGCTGATGAAGCAAGAAAAGATGGCTTCCTGCTCGAGCTTGCTGCAGCTGCTCCTCCCCCCAACCATCCATGGGTGGTCAACGGTAATTTTAACATCATATACGAAGCCAGAGATAAGAACAACTCTAACCTCAACAGGCGGCTCATGGGAAAGTTTAGAGCAGTGATAGATCAGGCTGGCCTAAAGGAGATAAAGTGCAAAAGCAGGAGATTTACGTGGAGCAATGAGCGCCAAAACTCTACGTTAGTGAGCATCGACAAATTTTTATGCAACATGGACTGGGAGGCCCTATTCCCAAACCACACTTTGACTGCGGCATCCACAACTTGCTCGGATCACTGCCCGCTCCTGCTTGCAAACGCCGCCTCGCCTCGTCGCAAAGCCAAATTCAGATTTGAGAGCTTCTGGCCTCGCTTCCCCCGTTTCCAGGAAATGGTGGCTCGGGCCTGGGAGAGGCCTGTCAACCATGACTGCTCGTTTCTGAGGTTTAAGACCAAGCTTCAGAGAACCGCTTCTGACCTGAAGATCTGGAGAAAGACTCTGTTCAGTGATGCAAAACTTCAGTTCCACTTGGCATCCGAGGTGGTGCTCCGTTTTGACGTGGCCCAGGAGAGAAGAGTTTTGACCCAATCTGAATTTCACCTCAGGAAGCTGCTCAAGTTGAAGATCGTTGGCCTCGCGGCACTGGAGTGTGCCACGAAAAGACAGGCCTCCCGTGTTACATGGTTGAAGGCCGGCGATGCCAAAACTGCTTTCTTTCAGGCCAAAATCAGCTCGCGAAGACGGAAAAATTTCATTCAGCAGCTGCAGGGGGACGGCCTGATCGCCACAACTCATGAAGACAAGGCGAAGATGATTCAGGAGCACTTCCAGAAGCTCTTGGGGACAAGGAAAAACAGAGAATGCACGATCAACTGGGACGCGATCAACCTGCCGGTGTTGGACAGTAGTGGCCTTGACAATCCTTTCACCGAGGCTGAAATCTAGGCGGCTGTGTGCTCGTCGCCGGCGGAGAAGGCCCCGGGGCCAGATGGGTTCTCTGGCTCCTTCTACAAAGCTTGTTGGCTGACGATCAAGGACGATCTTGTGGCTGTTTTCAACAAGTTCCACCGCCTGGCTGCTTGGGATTTTGCGTCGCTGAACAGAGCGCTGATTGCTTTGCTCCCAAAGAAGGATGGGGCAGTCACAGTGGGAGACTTCCGGCTAATTAGCTTAATACATTCTGTGGCGAAGCTGATTGCCAAAGTCCTCTCCCTGTGCCTGTCAAAAGTCATCGATCAGCTCATCTCCCCTGCCCAAAGTGCCTTCCAAAAGAAGGAGAGAATCCATGATAGCTACCTCTTCTTTCAGAACATGGTGAGGATGCTCCACCGCAAGCACAAGCCGACACTTCTTCTGAAGCTGGACATAGCAAAAGCGTTTGACAGCGTCTCCTGGGAGTATCTTATGGAGTTAATGCAACGACTCGGTTTCTCGCTGCGGTGGAGAGATTGGGTGGCGCTGCTCCTCTCCTCGGCTTCCTCAACCTGTCTCCTCAATAGCGCGGAGGGAGCCATCATCCAGCACCAGCGTGGCTTACGGCAAGGCGACCCGCTGTCCCCTCTCCTCTTTATCCTCGCGATAGATCCTCTTCACCGCCTGATCGCCGCGGACATGCGAGCCGGCGCCCTCGCCCCGCTCCCAACGGGTGTGGTGGGGCTGCGGGTCAGCTTATATGCGGATGACGCTGTCGTTTTCTTCAACCCAAGTAGACAGGATGTGGATGGGCTCATGGAGCTGTTGTAGGGTTTTGGCAAAGCGACAGGGCTGAACCTGAACCAGGCAAAATCGACCGTGGCACCCATCAGGTGCTCTGGCATCGACCTGCAACATGTTTTGCAGAATTTTGGCGGACAGATCGCGGGCTTCCCATTAGATATGTCGGCATCCCGGTGTGTCTAGGCAGGATTAGACTAGTCTATCTGCAATACCTCCTAGAAAGGATTAGAGCCAGACTAGCGGGATGGAAGGGTCGCCTGATGCCACTCTCGGGGCGCCGTGTGCTGGTCCGGTGCGTGCTCTCCGCGCTCCCGGCATTCGCGCTTGCAGTTCTTCGGGCTCCGGCAAAATTCTTCAAGGAAGTCGACAAGGCCCGCAGGCGGTTCCTATGGGCGCAGGACGATGAGCTCGCCGGAGGCAAGTGCAAGGTCCAGTGGCAGGTGGTCGCATCCCCGACGGATCGCGGGGGGCTGGGCGTGCCGGACCTGCAGCGCTTCGCTAGAGCCTTGCGCCTCCGCTGGTTGTGGATGGCATGGACACACCCAGACCGGCCTTGGGCGGGGCTGGGATCGCCGTGCGACGACAAGGATGGGGCGCTCTTCGCGTCGGCAACTACCGTGGCCATGCGCAGCAGGCGACAGGCCACCTTCTGGCACTGCAATTGGCTCAACGGTCGCCCGCTCAAGCTCCAATTCCCGGACATATTCAGGCGCTCCATCCGCAAGAACCGGAGTGTTGCCGGCGTGCTTCTGGGGGATAGATGGATACTCGACCTTCAGCTCGGCGAAATCAACGACACAATCATGCTGCAGTGCATCCATCTGGCTAAGGCGATTAGAGAGGCAGAAATCACGCTGCAGCCGGACATCACCGACGAGATCGCTTGGACGGGGGGCGGCGGTAGCTCTGAATACTCTGCTAGCTCCGCCTACGCCATCCAGTTCTCCAACCGCCCCACGACCTCTTTCAAGCCACTGATCTAGAAGACATGGGCGCCGGGGCATGTCAAGATGTTCTGCTGGCTTCTCCACCATGATAAGTTGTGGTGCAACGACCGGCTTCAACGTCGAGGATGGGAGAACGGATACTTCTGCGCCCTGTGCTCCAGAAGCCTAGAATCATTGGTGCACTTATTCTGGGAATGCCCGGTCGCGCTGAGGGTTTGGACGCAGGCGGCGTCCTGGAGAAGTTGCGAGGCTCTAAGGCCAGACGTGGAGACGAGCGGGAGATCCACCACTGAGATCGTCACCTCCCTGGTGCTTCGGTCTCCTCCGGCCACTCGGCGAGGGGTGCAATCCCTGATGGGAATGACTCTCTGGCGAATTTGGCTTAAACGCAACGCATGCACTTTCAGAGGCGCCACGCCGCGAGTTTCAGATGTAATTAGCGAGATTAGGAGCGATTTGGAGCAATGGCGTTTGGCCGGAGCGGCATGTCTCAAGACCCCGTTTGGGGATTTGGTCGTGAGATAGTTCCATAGATGTACAAGGGGAGGATCTGTTTCCTCCTCGGTTTTCTTCCTGGTCACTTGACCAAATTCTTGCAACTCTCCTCTGCTAAATCAATGAAAAGCCAGTGAAATGCTGGGTCTTTCAAAAAAATCAATCATTCTCACACTCATTTCAGGAAGAATTAAAGCTGGGCCTGGCAGAGTAATACCGGTGCTGCTAGGAAAAACACAGCATGTGTACCTCTTCAGTCTTCTATTGTGGGGCCAGAATTCAAGTCAGATCCATGAGTCCAAATTCGTCGCCACATCAAGCAGAAGATTATGTTTCCTCAAATCAAAGGGCTATTTTTTCTTTAGAAATTCTGTTGTATAGAATTCTTACAAAATTCTTCCGACTGAAGAAGCCTAAGAGCATCTACAACTAGACTAGACAAATCTATCCCCTAAAAGTCCGCCGACGCGTCGGGGCCATCCCCGGACAGCGTCAGACAACCCTCAAAGTTCTGTAGGACAACGACACTCTTGATATAAAAAACCTCAAATTCATGCAAATCCTTAATCTGTCCTGATATGGGCTAGATATGAAGGGTGTCAGTGAGTCGGATGAATAGGGCCGGTTTGAAGGGGTCGGATGGGTCATGATTTTGTGCCCGATCCTTGATCGGCCGCTCGGACATATATGGGTGTGATTGAGGAGCCCGGCTATAGATGCTCCGAGGGCATTTCGAACGCGGACCCTCAAAACGCACACAAACATTCGAATCGAGGTGTCCAAGCGATGTAAGCCATCCAATGTGATGTTGCATCTGTGCACAGACGTGTCCGCTTGTCTCAATTCCCGCAAATCGGACGCAGACCAAGGGGAGGTTTACTAGAGTCTGGACATCTGCCACATGCGCGCCTGGCCGGTCGAACCCACCCAAAACACTCTCCGCGCTGTCGCACATTCTTGCCGATCAAGTTGCTTCAGAGCGGACGTGACTCAACGACGTTGATGTCATTCAGAGCAATGCAGATGGATGAGCGGGCGGTGCCGCTTCAATAGTGACATGACTACTGAGAAGTCTACTCCAGCCGATGGCACATTGAAGTTGGTTGCCCGCCCATTCGCCTGGGAACAACTATGTAAGCGTGGCTCCGGCAGCGTCAACACGACATCTCCAATCCACGCCACTTTGCTCACCATGGTTGACTATCCTCCCTTCTCCGCGACGATGCCAAGCTCCTGGTTCTCTGCGCCGGCAGGTGCCACCGGATCTCCTACTAGATCCGGATCGTGGCACCGCCGTCATCTCTCTATGTGGCTATCTAAATGCTCTTACGTTTGTTTAGAGAGGGAGTATATTTTGGTTTTTGTAACAGCGTATTCATTCTGACATTCTCTCCTTACATTTGTTCAGTTTCCGATAAATGACAGATCGTTTGTTTAACAACAGTCGAGGTATGCAGCAATTATTCCGTGTTCACGCTTCTTCTAAATGTAGCCTTGCTGACGCTCAGATCCCGGCAACGTTGCACGAATTGGGCCAAGCTCCGGTAGCTCGTGCCGCCGTCGGCGACTGCCTTCGCCGCCGCATCCTGGACGCTTACCGCCTTGTTCCTCACTGTCTCGTCCGCCATTACAGCCTTCACCTTCTCCGCGATACTCTCCCCGCTCACCATTCCCTCCTCCCCCTCCCAGCTCCACCGCTCCTCCCAGACGCCGAGCCCGCTGCGCGCCACTACGCCGGCGTTCACCCTCTGGTCCCCGAACCTCGGCCATGCCAGAACCGGCAATCCGTTCGCCGCCGCCTCCGTGACCGAGTTCCAGCCGCAGTGGCTGATGAACAGACCGATGGATTCTTGCTTCAGGACCTCCTCTTGCTCCACCCAACCCTTGGTCACCATGCCCCGCCCCTGCACACGCTCCAAGAAGCCTTCGCCGAGCAGCTCGCTGAGCTCGGCCTCGTCGTCTCTGTCGACGACGGTGCTTTTCACCACCCACAGGAACCGGTGGCCGCTCGCCTCGAGCCCGACGGCGAGCTCCCTGAGCTGGTCCTTGGATATGGCCTTGCGGCTGCCGAAGCTGACGTACACCACCGACCTCGCCGGCTGCGCCGCGAGCCACTGCATATAATCGGCTTGATTTTCCGCCGGTTCACTTGCCGAAAAGCTCACCGGAGCGAGTGGCCCAACCGAGAAAACATTTGGGAACCCGGCAACGACGGAGCCATCCCGGAGTGCAGCTATGGCTTCTGGCTCGAACTCGTCGAAGGAATTGACCAGGAGGCCGTCGGCTTTCGCGAGCTCGCGGCCGTTGGCGACGAACTGCCGCGTGAAGAGGTGCTCGGGGTGGTGCAGCGCCTGCGGGATGGAAGCCTTGGAGATGCGGTACACGCCGGGGACGTCGACGTCGCCGACGGGACCGCCGGCATTCGCGTCGAGGTAGGCGGGGAAGTGGACGCACAGGGAGAGCATCGCGGTGGAGGCGGTGAACAGGACGTAGCAGGGGAGGCCGAGCTCCTTGGCGACGGGTATGACGACGGATGCCAGCGCGATGTCCGTCACGAGCGCCGACGCGCCGGCGCCGGCGAGGAGCGGGCCGAGGAGGGGCGCGGAGCGGCGCATGGCCTCGAAGCGGAGGAAGAAGGGGTCGGCGCCGGGGAACTCGGACGCGTCGAACCGCGCGAGGTGGAAGTCGAGGCGGCGCACGGCCGGGCACGCGCTGAACAGGGCCTCGAGGTGCGCGGACTCGGCGGACGACACGGTGGGGAGCACGGTCGCGACGGAGACGCCGCAGCCGTGGTCTGAGGAGGAGAGGGACACCGCGAGGCGGCTGAACGGGACGAGGTGGCCCATCCCGGCGCTCGGGAGGAGCACGACGTGGGGGTGGGGCAGGGCGCCCGAGGCGTCGCCGGAGGTCGGCATTGCCGGCGAAACCGTGGAGATGTTTTCTCTTTTCTCTTTTTGGCTGGCTCGTGCAGGGCAGGAGGGATAAAAGCTCTGCAATTCCAGGTGGTTTAATACCAGAGGGCCTCGTTGTTTTGGGAGATGTAGCGGTGCTCTGCACCACACGACTCAACAACCAGTTCAGCGGCGCAGTAGGTGCAACGTCCGGACAGATATACCAGCACATCGTGGGTGTGAAAGCGTGAACTTTATTGCGAAAACGAAGAAGATCTCCACGAGAACACAACAGATGACCAATTGCACGATAGGGCTGAAGCACCATTGCATCCGCGGGAAATATCACCTGTATTTTCATTATCGGTCTTGAAGTCTCGGTCGATGCTATACTCATTAAATCTTACATTAAGATCTGTGCCAAAAAAAATATTTTACATATTATATAACTTGACTGAGACTTCATTATTCAGCCACGTAAGCAGGGCAGCAGCTATACAAGAGTGCACGACAGAGCACCCGCTCACGCTCCCCGTGCAAAATAAAATCCCACCGAACAAAATACACATGGCATAGCTGGTAATCCTTGTTGGAAATAACCAACATATTTTTAGGCCAGCAAAACTGGGCACACTTTCTGCCCTCTGCTGCACTTAGGCCTCAGTTCATCCCATCCCATAGTTAGATTCACGTCTGAACATGGGCTCTCTCGGCGATTTCAAATTTCTGGCCGTTGGATCTCTCCCTAGATGCAATTTGAACCATCGGATCTGCCCCTGAGGTGAGCTGGGCCGTTGGATATAATTCAAGTTCACAACAATGCATAGTAAGTTTGTTTTTCCACTTTAGGATTTTAATCGTTTGTGACTGACTACTGGGGTCCGACACTCATGGGCCGGGCCTGTCAGCGGCTTGGGTGCGCAGACACCCGGTGCGGGTGGCTCGCAGTCAAATATGTGTGCCACCGCCTGTAATTTTCGGATCTCGCTGAGGGCATTAGAGGGAATTCGCTTCGTCGCCCTTGCGTGGCGTGATGTGTATGGGTCATTTTCCAGTGTAAAGAAGAAAAGGAGAGGAGGCACCCGATTGGGTGAAAACCCTAGCCGCCATCCCCATCGCGCCCCTCTCCTTCGCAGTCGTCGCCGCTCTCCCGTCCAGTTCTCCTCCCCCATTGCCGAGCTCGCCTCCGCCGCTGCTCTCTCCCGTCCATCTCGCGCGGCCACCCACCGACTCCTCCCCTTTACACGGCGAGCTTGAGGAGTAAGGCTGGCAACTGGGCACTGCCATACGAGGGTCATGCCGAGCACGGCCCGAAGCACGACGGCCTCTGGTTCGGTTTCTCGTCCGGTGGCTACCTCTGCGCGTGGGACGACCTGCGTGTCGCCGCTGTCACCACAGACGCAGGGCCAAAGGCAACGGCCGTGCGCCGCCATCAGCGGGAGGAGCGACGGCCGCCGAGACGGTCGTCCACGTCGATGTTGTCGTCGTCATTCAGGTGCTCTTCCGCTTGCTCTCGCCCTCTGCCTCCTAGCCATCTGTTGTGAGTTGTGTACATGTTCCTGATGCATTCATCATCTCACAGCTGGATCGGCAAGCGGTGACACGTTCACTGTGCGCATCAATTGCTGTCACCTTGGCCACCTGGCGAAGATGGAAGAGGTTCACTGGGATGTGGTTATGGTTTGTTAATTTTGGCTACGATCTGTAGTTGCTGCTCCTCTAGGTTGTGTCGTTGGTACTGCTTGGAGTGCTGCTCCTTCTCGTGCAGATCCTCCACCTCGTGCTCTCCTCCTCAAGTTGTCAGCCACCTTGTACTTGGTCTCTTTCGAACTGATGGGAAAGGCAATATGTAAATAGCAATGGGTGCAAGAGCTGGTGAATGCCGTATTAGGGTCCATTAATCATTGGAGAGTCGTGATAAAACTGAAAAAAATGAATGCCTGAAGGTGACCGTACTATCTATTTAGTGGAGTAAACAAGTTCAGGTTGCTCAAGCGTAGTAGTGTGGGATGGGTCTGCTTAAGTGTGTTCTTAAGTGTGGGATGGGTCTGCTTAAGTGTGCTCAGGTTGATGATAGCTTCGTTTTTTATTCTCCCATTAAGGAACCACCCCCAGCCGTCGTCCTCGCGCTGCACTTGTGCTATGTTTCAGCGTCCCAAGTCATCTCTCTCTCACACACATACATATCCATTCCCCTTATTATGCACTTTTCGTCAGTCTAGCAACTTCTGATTTTATACAATGAAGAATATATGAGGGTGCAAAGAGATTTATTTTAGTACAAGCTAACTTTAGAGCAACTCTAATGGGGCGACCCATTTCGTCCGCCCGTGTCCGTTTTTCGTCCGCGGGCGACCCATTCCAGACCCAATTTTGAGCCGGATTTGCGTCGGCGCGGACATAAGACGAATGCGCGCGCGCCTACTCCTCTGCCCGGGCCCGCCGGTCGGTGGCAGCCACCAACATTCCCCCCATTTTCCCTAAAAACGCTTCCGCCCGCGCGCGCCCACGCCCCCCAACCAGCCATGGAGGACGCCATCGACCTCGACCTCGACGCCACTGCCGGCCTCGCCTCCCTCCCCTCGTCCGGCGCCGTCGCCCCTTCCGGGAAAGGCAAGCATCGTGCCCCGTGCAAGACCGTCGCCGCGACCAAGCCGAAGAAGGCGCTGACTCCCGAACAGCGGGCAAGGGAGTCGGCCAAGAGGAAGGGTCGGAGGCACGCCGCGGACGCGAGGGATGAGGCCGCCGCGCAGGCCGCCGCCGCCGCGCAGCAGGAGTTCACCAACGCCCACGTCGCCGCGGCAACGAGGGAGGCGCTCTACATGCTAGGGGTAAACCCTAGCCAGCACAGCGTGCTCCAAGCCGTCGTCGCCGCGGCCAGCACCGGCTCGTCGGTGTTTCCTTGGATGGTGCTGCTTGACTCACCCCGCGCGTTGACTTGCAACCTGGTCCCCGGCTTCCACGTCTACCCGCAGGCCTCCCGCCTCTCCGGGAAGTGCTCACCCGACGTGAGCGTGGTCGTGCCTTCCACGCCCGCGCCCATCGACCTCAACGCCACCCCGATGGTCGGTGGCTCGTCGTCCGGTGGCACGAGGAAATGCGCACGACAGACGCCGGCCGGCGGGCTCCCGGACGCACGTAACCTGTTCGAGGAAATGCCGTCCGCCGTCGACGAGGACTACATGCAAAACCTCATCTTCAAGGGTGATGCGCCGGGCACTGGCTACGATCCCGACGAGAGACAAAGCCAGAACGGCCGCGGGGCGTTCACGCCGGCCGCTGG